ACAAAAATATAAATAGACAAAAACGGGCGGCGTCGCGCTCATTGAACGAGTAATCGTGGGTTGAATTTTTTCATCCGTGACTTTTTTAAAAAACCCAAGCATTTTCTACAATTTTCTATAAAACTAGAGAATTTCTTCGAATTTTTCAAAGAATTGGACAATTCTCTCGAAAACTTGTTGAGAATTCAATGTTGGTTTTTTTTGTTGATTATTTTTAATAATCGCATCTGGCTTTCTCTGGGCCAATCAGAGTTCAGTATTCAATAACATGAAGTACTTCCCAATTAAAATTAAAGCGGTTATTCCCCCCTAGCTTTTGATAATTTCCCTGTAGTTTTTTATCATTTCCCTCTAGCTCTGCAATTGTTTCTCTAACCAAATAACTGTCAAATATTATCCTGTGGAGTGAAAGAAAGTCATGAAGAAAGTCAAAATGAGTCGGTTTGGGAAGGATCCGATTACCAAAAATAATCCGTCGAATACCACTCGACCTCCAAAATTAATCGGACATTTCCCTCATGTTTTCCTGCGTATCAACGATCGGGATAAGTTTCGCATAAAAATCCCTGGCGCTGCGCGCTCGGGATTTTAATCTGCAAAACTTCTCCCTCCCGTTGCTACGCAACAAAACAATCGGGAAATATCCGATAATTTTGGAGGTCTCGTGGTATTACTACTGATTATTTTTCTTACTCGGATTTCAGCCAATCAGAGCACAGTATTTGAGGCTGTCAAACAGTTTTATTTCGGAAATTTCTAAAAATAATTCCGACGGAAATTTACTAGTAGCTTTTTAAATGTTTCTCATCTTTCAACGCATTTCACGTTTAATATTCTGTCTGACAGATAAACAAAAAAGTGGGTTATAAATGTATGACTGTGTAAATGTATCCGGGTGCTATTCACTGCCCTCTGCTTGGCCGAAATCCGAGTAGAAAAATAATCCGTCAAATACCACTCGTGCTCCAAAATTAATCGGATATTTTGAAGCACTAGTGGTATTACTACTGAAAATAGAATTTTTGATTCTCAATTAGTTCTCAATAGTTTCACAAAAAATTGAGAGTTGGATTCTTGATTTTCAATTAACTCTCAATTCACTGAGAGTAGATTGAAAGACAATTGAGAATCAAAAATCCAACTCTCAACTCTCAAAAAAGTTGAGGGTACATTCAGAGATACTTGAGAATCAAAATTCAAAAATCAAATTTTCAATCCCGATAGTAAAGTTGATAGTAAAGAGGGCGACTGGCATAAAATGCATTTTACGCCTCGTCACTTCAACTTTCAAATAACCGTAAATTTCCTCTCAAAAACCAGAAATTATCCAGAGTCCAACTCTCAACGTGGTCCGGAAGAGTCAAGTTTCTGAGAGCATTCCAGAAAATTCTCCGGTTTTCGAGAAAATCCGTCGATTTAAAAAAAAAATCGAAAAAATTCTCCAATTTTCTAAAAACTTTGAATTTATGTTCCAGTTTTGTAAACAAAATCGAGAAAATTATTGGGTTTTTGTGAACGTTCTAGGAAATTCTACGATTTTCTAAAAAATTCAAGAAAATTCAAGGTAATTCTCCGATTTTCTACTAAATTGCATGAGGTTCGCCGATTTTCTCATAAGTTCAGAAGAATTCTACGGTTATCTATGAAATTCGATGAAATTCATCGATTTTCTAATAAATTCGGGGGAATCCTCCGGTTTTCTAGAGAATTCGACAAACTTCTCCGTTTTTCGAGAAAATTCTCCAGTTTATTAAAGAATTTGCGAAAATTCTGCGTTTTTATAAAAAATTGGAGAAAATTATCCAGTTTTCTGAAAACTTTGAAAAAATTTTCCAGTTTGCGTTTGAAAAAAGAATTTTTGATTTTCAATTATCTCTCCATCTACTTTCAACGTTTTTGAGAACTGAGAATTTGATTGTTTTGTTTTTGAAAATAGCATTGTTGATTCTCAATGATTCTGAATTAGAGATGCAA